GATGAGAGTTTGTTCAATTGCCCATATTATGAATTACTAAAAACGTTTAAAAAAATTGATGAATAAATTCTGTATTCTGAAAAAAAAAAATGATGTATACAACATCACGGTTGTTCGGCAAAACTTGAAAGAAAAAATTAGAATTGATGTTTGGAACTTTAAAAAAAGTTTTAACCAAGTGTTATATATCGGATCCAAAAGCAACTTACAAATTAATTGAAATTAAGTTGGTGTCATAAACTAATACCAAGTGTGAGAGAAGGCGTCCGCCAAAAGGTTGATGAAAACAAGATAATCTGGAAGCTTGAAAAGAAGGAGCACTGTCGTCTCTATCTCGGCAGGTTGCTGAACTCAGGGTGGAAGACAAGCATGGGGAACGCTAACTAACCATAAAAAAGGATGGCTCTTCTCCTCCGTCCTCCACCTGCTTTCGGTTGTTTTTGAAAAATATTTTTTTTTGTTTCAGAGTGCAAATTTGAACTTGAACGTTGGTAGAAAGCAAAAAAACTTGTGAGGCATAAGGAGTAAGTTATATTCAACATGATTGCTCCGAATCAGACTGAGAGTGGAAAAGAGCCATATATTCTTCATAATAACTTGCTGACCAAATTTGATAAAAACGGAACAAGTTTGACAGAGCGATCTAGCGTGGGTGATAACCCGGCCAACCGTTAAACGCACTCCTTAGTTTCCGTTTTTAGTGGCAGGGGATATTGCGGCGCACACAAGATCAAAGAACCAAACAGGTTATTTACTTTTTTTATCAAAAAATCTAGACAAAGCCATGACTTAGAGTTTCACAAAAATGAATAAAGTATAATGATAGTAATGTTCTAAAACTGAAAATTTTGCTGTTGGTTCTTTATACCATTTACATGGATTGGAAGTCATTATCGGTGAAAATTTTCCAGTAGTTCTCCAAGATTGTTCGAGAAAAAATCATTATATACCAAAAACTAATTTTGGTTTTGTTTTGTTTCATTTCAGTTCGGGGAAAAAGAACGCTTTTAAATGCTTTTATATTGTTACGCAACCTAAAAAGAAGGTCTAGCTCAGATAGTTAGCTTTCTCTTGATAAATTGTGTACCAAAAAAGTTAATTCAATGCGCTGTTTACAGTTTTCTATACCACACCAAGCACCCATGGATCAGAATCGATTATTTTGTCATATCATAATCAGAATCTCTAAAACTATAAAATAATCGGTTATAACTCATTAAAAATGGATTATAGTTCTATTAATTTTATGTCGAGGTACTCCATTTAATAGATTATAAACCATTAAAAGTCGATGATAATCCTGAGTTTTTATTGCCAGTTATATTTTTAATATGATCCTTTATAATTGATTATAATCGATTAAAATGGATTTTTTCGAGAAATCATTTGTGAAACTTACATATTTTTTCAAACTTATCTTATTTCCTGTTTGGTGCAGTTGCTACAAATTACGTGCCATAAAAAGTTACATTCCAAAAAAAAAACTTTTATACTTTTGTCTCTTAGTAAAGTTTATTTGCTTGTATATTATAGTTTGAACAGCGTTAGAAGGATATATTTGATGGCAGAACCCCCGTCCCGCTTACCCCCCCCCCCTGTCTACCCTATCTCACCCCGCTCACTTCACCCCGTCCCCTCTTCCCCTCCTCGGTTTACTTTACCCCACCCCCCCCCCCTCTGTTTGGTTCGAACGGTGTTAGGGGATATATTTGATGACACAACCCCCACTGAATGATGACAAAAATTGTTTTCTTGGTTATTATTTGAATAACTTATTTTTTCTGTCATGTTCATTGCAAACACATTTAGTTTCTGTCGCCCTATCCACAACCAGTTCGTTCATTATCATTTTTAATGAATTTCATGATAACAGATTAAAATGGCACTTTTGTTAGCCTTTCATATCCCCGCAGAAACACTATATATTTTGAAAAAATCACCATGCAAATGAGTGTTTTTGGAAAATTTCCCAAAAAATCCAAGGTAATTTTCAGCAGCATCGATTTATTTGCAGTATCAGAGGGCTGACTTCTAATAGTTAAAGGGGGCTTCCACGCTATAACGCTCCTGATACAGTCTGTAGCGCATTGAACTTTGTGAAAAACGCAAGATCTAATTTCGAAAGCGAAATATCAAGGTCAAAAAATAACAGACTGTTTCCTTGCTCTGCAATCTTCTTTTTTTTACCACACAAAACATCTTGAAATTGGGTTAAGCTGTTCAAAATTTATAAGTTTTTTGACTATACAATAGATCTCGATATTGGGTTAAGCTGTTCGAGAAAAATTGACTGAACCTTGATCATCTATTAAGTACATTATTAAAAATTTGAGTTTTTTTGCCCTAATGACCCTCACCGAGCGCCCAGGGATCATTGTCGTTTATATTGTCATAATTTGGTCAGGATCTCAATAACAAAATAACAAAATAAGCGGTTATAATCCTTTAGAAATTGATTATTAGTCCTACTATTATTTATGTCAATATAAACCCTTATAATTGGTTATAATCCATTAAAAATTGATTATAGTTTTCCTATTATTCATGCCAATATAATCGATTACAATCGTTTATAGTTGAACATAAAGATCTTTTGCGCGGTTAACAATGATATTTACAAATATGTTTTCAAACTTATCTCATTTTCTGTTTAGTGCAGTTGCTACGTACATCGTTTCATAAAATAAAAACATTTCACATCAAAGTTTTTATTTTTATTACCTCTACTTTTTCAACCCATCACCCCTTGTTCAGTTTAGCCCCCATTGTCCAGTTTAGCCCCCTTCCACCCTCCCCATTTTAGTTAGGCCCCCTCAAAATTAGTTCTACAAATAAAATTGGATTCTAATCAAATATAATGGATTATAATGGACTTTCATTTCAATAAAAGTCAATTATAAGGTATTATCTTGGCAAAAATGATTGTTTTCTTTACCAAAAAAAAAGAATTAAAATCAATTTTAGTGGGTTATTTTTTTTTTCGTGGTCCGAAACTTACATCTTTAATGGAATATAATCGATTACTTTTGACTAAGCAATCCATTGTAATCCATTAGAATCCACGAGAGCTCGGTGCGGGGAGCAGCTGAGCAGTTTTTATATCAAGCTATTCATAAATTTGAATTTTTTTTTATTGTTACGCAACCTAAGAATAATGTCTAGCTAAGATTTTTAGCTTTCTCTTGATAACTTGTGTACCAAAAAAAGTTAATTTGTTGTGCTGTTTACAGGTTTCTAACCCGCAAAGAGCGCCCCTACATCATAACCGATTATACTGGCATAAATAACATGGTAATATACTGGCATAACAGTATCTCTAAAGTTACAAAATAAATGATTATAATCCATTAAAAATGGATTATAACTAAATAATTTTTTTTCAATGTAATCCAGTATTAAAAAATTATAATCGATTAAGAACGGGTTATAATCCTTATATTTTTATGCAAATATGACCCGTTATAATCGATTATAATCGATTATAATGGATTTTTTTGAGAGGTTATTTGTGAAATTTACAACTTTTTTTTGAAGTTATCTCATTTCCTGTTTGGTGCAGTTGCTATGAAATTTATTTATTTTATGTCTCTATTTAAAATTGATATGTTTGTAAATTATGGTTTGAACGGTGTTAGGGGGGATATATTCGATGGCAGAACCCTCCGCCCCATTTATCCCCCTCTCCAGTCAAATACCCCCCCACCCCCCGACAACCCCCCTCTCCAGTTTCAACCCGCCTCCTCCATTTACTTCAACCCGTCCACCCATCCCAGGTTACTTAACAACCACCCCACCCCCATTTTCATGATTGATTGGGAGGTTCATGATTGACAGCCCCCATTTTACCCCCTCTTTAATTGGGGAAGTTAAAAAATACTTGAGAGGCTAACGTTGAGACATGGTATTTAGTAAGACATATGCTAAAACTTCCGCAAATTTCCCGCAAAACTTATAAAAATTCTGCAAAAGTATTCGAATTTAGTTTTTAGTTTAAAAAATAAAAAGTATTCCAATTGTTATGGATTTTTGTTGCAAAAATTATCAATTATAATGGATTATCTTAGCAGAAATAACCGATTTCCGTGTCAAAATAAATGGAGTATAATAGATTATTATGGATTACTTGTTTTCAAAAATTTTCGATTATAATGGCAAAATAATCGATTTCGTGGTCTAAATTGTACATCTGTAATCGATCATAATGGTTTATTTTTGTCTCGAGAATCCATTATAATCAATTAGAATCCAAGGGTGCTCGGTGCGGGACGGCACCCAGAAATCGATTTTGAAGATCTTAAAGACCAAACTACGCTTTGAAACAAAATTGCTCTTTTTCTGCTCATTTCAGTGGTTGAAAACTAAGATTGAAACTTCTGTTTTCATTTCTGTTTCAAATGTTTATACTCACTCACAAATATTACCATTTGATTGGTATATAAATACCTGATAACTCTATATTAATTGCTTATACTGAAAAAGCGACATTGAAGTGTTTATTGAAATATTTGTATAGGGCAAGTGGAAATTCTAAGTAATTGATGTTTTCAGTATTAAGGTCTTGTACAGACTTAACTTTTATCGCCTGATCACTGAATGCTAATCAACCGAAACCCGGAAATATATAATTTTTTTAATGCAATAAATTAACATCGTAAATTGCAATGTTCAAAATTTGTTCTAGTTAAGTGATATTGAAAAAAATTCAAACGAGAAACCAGATCCGCGAGAAAATATGATGCAAACATGAACCAAACTTATCATTCTTCTACCTTAGATCAAATTGCTTCGCTTAAAAATGTCTTTGTGCTGCTATTTAATATTGATGTCTTATAACATAAACATCGATCTAGGTTTTTGAGGGATTTTTTTAATAACACGACTTAACATGTTACTGCCACTGAGGTTGAAGTATGATTAAAATAAGACTTGAATCACATGATAATGACGAGCTGCTAGTCGTTGCTTAAAACGTTTTGATGGTAACTTTTCTTGATGAATAATTACAGCACATTATTGAACAGCAGCAAAACAACAAAAACAAAAAGTGTACAGTTCGAAAAAAACACAAGTTTTGTTTTATTGAATCATCGAAGCGTTACTTTCATTTTTTCTTTACCTGCTTCAATTATCCATTCAAAATGGCGGAGAGCTGTTTTCGTGATTTTTATCAGGAGCTCGATGGGTTTGAGCTGGACATGCCAGGAAGACAGAGAGTCCATTTCAGTGATAACGAGACCCTCCTGAGAATGTTGCGATGTCAATACAGAAACTGGACCGACGCAGGAAAAATAACATCAGTTCCTCCTGCCAGAGTTCCCAGACTATTCCTGAAAAACATCCAGATGAGCTCAGCACAGCAAAAAGAATTCAAATCTCTTCAAAAAGGCGAGGATGGTGAAATAAAAATCTACCGATTACTAATGGAAAAATATGACGAAAATCGGGGTGGTGTTATGTTGTTTCCGAATGTAAATGCAACAGAAATTTTTAAAACACAGTCAGCGAAGGTAGAAATTGACACGATATTAATTATACCGACTAAAGGAGTGTTTTTGTTCAATATAAAAGCTCAAGGAGGGAAAGGGTTGACGCCACACAAAATTGAAGAAGATTTCAGAAATCATTCGGCCTTCCTGCGAACGCTCATGCAATACGGCTGCAAAGACATTTCAAAATTTCCTCCAATTCATTCAGTTTATTGTCATCTGTTTGACGACAATAAAGAAAAGTTTGAGCGCAATATTAAACAAGAACAAAACGAAAGCAAACTTCTAGTTTTTACCAAATCAGACTTGAAACCGGAAAAATTTGCCGCTTCATGGACTGAGAAAATTCAAGATATTCCAGATTTAGATCCAAATTTATGGGAGATATTTGAGGTGTTCATTGCTCGATTAGTCGCACTTAACTCAATTGAAGGTTCTCTTGCGTTGATTCACGATCAAGTTAGTTCAAATTACCTTCAGGCGACAAATAAAAACAAGACAAATTTTGACGCTTTCGTTAGTGAAAAGGAATCAAAATCAGTTTTGATGGAGGCCTCAAAAGCAAAATATAGAACAAAAACGAGATTCGTATTGTGGACAAAAGAACAGTTAAAGATAATCTCGACCGTCGTTGAGCATTTGCAAGATACTAATCGGAAGGCTTTGAAACTGATTGTCAAGGGATGCAAAGGGTCGGGAAAAACAATGGTTTTAATTTTTCTGGCCAAAATCGCAGCCAAATTAATTCAAAATCAGCTTCCTGGTCAAGACAATCAAGGCGTTGTAACTTTATTCAGTGGCAACTGGGTGGCTTCTTATCTGCACACAGAGCAAATGCAGAACCTCCTAGAATCTTCTGGCGACACTATTTGCAATTTGGGTCAGTAAAAACTAATAAGGAAGGCCTAAATGAAAAATTATTAAAGTAAAATGGAAAAATGGTGTACAGCAAGTCAGACGACAGATATTAAAAGGACAATCGCTTTCGATAGGAGTTAGAGATTAAAGACGACGCTACTCACAAGTCACCAGTTGTATTTTTGAAACCACCTAAGTTTGATCATTCATATTAAAGGTTTTAACGTTCTCCTAATTTCATGTCATATGCATATCAAGTCGTCTTAGTTACCTTGCAGTTCGTTTTTTTTTTTTAAATTTTAATTTTTTTCTAATTTTTTTTATTTCGGCAATTGTCTATTTTGTATTCTTCAAATAATTGTCATAGAAAAACTGAGGGGCGCTTAAGCAATTCTATTTTAAGAATCAGAGAACAAAGAGTATAAAATAAAACTGAAATTTAGGCTGCAGAAAAATCTACTTCCAAAATACTTCACTTATTACTGATTTTCATGAAACAAACATTACATTCTACGAAGGTTCTGCAAAATTTTTCGTTAATTATTCCTTTGAAGTAGATTTTTTACAGAACTTTTGGTTAAAAAACCCTTGAAATGGAAATTTTTTTAGCGCCAATACTGAACAATTGCCGTTAAGAGCAAAACATAGCTCTTTTCTGCTTCCCTAACATTGCCTTTGCGTTTATATGCATCAATTTTAAAAAAACTATTGGGCTAAAAAGTTCTACATGAGGTCAAAAATCTCACCTTTTATTTTTTTAATAAAAAAAACAAAGAAAAAACACATCTGTGTTAGCACCTATTTGTTTGAAGACATCAATTTTTTCGGAATAACAAAAAGCATTTACATATACCTTTTTGGTTAACTGGAATCTATTATTCTCAGAAATATGACAAAAAGTTGTTGTTTTCCATATAATGAATATTGACTCAAAAAGTTTTAAGAATTGGTCAAGCGCTTAAGGTTTTGCCTATCAGCATGCAACTTTTTATAAATTGAAAGAAAAACATGTTCGCTCATTGATGTTGAAATAAATTGTCATTGATAACTACGAATTTTTTAGTGTTAAATGAAAGCATTTTATTGAAAAATTCGAAAGACCAAACCATCTTTGAATTCAGATTTTAAATCGATATTTCTTATCAAAAATGTATGGCGGGAACAGAGTTAGATAACACACATTTTATGCAAAGATCCTATATTTTGTGTTTTTTAAGTTTCCGACCTTCGATACGAAAGCAGCGGAATATTTGTGCTCGGGGTGGGGTTTCTTTTTTTTCTTCAGACAAATTTCGACTTCTTATTTTTGACGGACTTCTTAAATATCATTCAAAAAGTATGGTTGTCCTGAGCTTAAATATGAAAAGATATTTCACCTGTGACCATTTTTTGTAAAATTATGGGGGTTTGAAGATTGCCATTTTGACCATTTTGGGACAACTAACGCGCGATATATTTCGCGCTATCAACGCGCAAGCGGAGATTTAATCCGTCTTAAAAATCGTAAGAATTTTAGAATTTTTTTTTTCATTTCATTTTTTTACATTTAATTTTTTTATGTTGTTACTGCTCCAAAAACCTTAAAAGGTAGTCTGAACATTCAGGGCTTCGCCCTGATACGAGCAGTCTTGTTCTTTGTTCTGATTCACAATTTTTTTCCAGTTTTGCAAAATGTAGCTACGAAAAATAAATATAATGTTTATTAAGTTTTTATTTTGAAATCTTTCTTAGGCTTTCGAAATTGTTCTGATTCACAATTTTTTTCCAGTTTTGCAAAATGTAGCTACGAAAAATAAATATAATGATTATTAAGTTTTTATTTTTATCTTTCTTAGGGTTTCGAAATTAAACTTTTTCAATGATAAGTTTTTTGCTTGCACAATCATTTGGCTGGATTTTGAATGTTGTGAAACCATGGTTTTGAAATAATTTCCGAGCAATCTAAGATGAAATTAGCAATGTCGTTGAGGCGAAATGAGGACTGATTATAGAATTCGATCTTTAATGCCAATTAGTTCATCGCATATTTGTGGTAACTATCAGTTATTACAAATACAAATAAGCCTTTTGAATTGGAGCTCAGTGCATCAAAATTTTAAGATCATATCACAAGTTCCTTCAAAAAGGCAGTTGGAAATTCTTAAATTTTTAAAGAACAAAAAAAACCCTGAGCCCAAATAATCTATGTTTTAAGCAAAAAATTTGAACAATTAAAAAACCTGAGATTTTAAAAACTAATATTATTTTAATTCTACTATTCATTTCAGAAAAAATTCACTTCTGCTTCCCTACAAAAAGTAACGATACAAAAAAGATACTAAAAACTGCCATCTATTCGTTTTGCAAAAGTGACCGTGATCGGGTATGTTAATATTATGCCAATTTCACAACAATCTTTTTTTTGTGTGTGATTTATTGTTTGCCCACTCGAGTATGATTATACTCATGGAACTGGGCATTGAAGATAATTACAAGCTTTTCTATTTTGCCAAAATTTTTGGTCTTTTTCTAATGCAAATATAATCAAACTGATTTTTCAGGTTATGAGCTCAAAAGAAGTCAGGAGAAGAACAAAGAAACCGAAGTGACAAATCAACAGCAACGCCGCAAGTTAATTGAACATCATCTACAGAAGACACACATTTTTTTGTGTGACGAGTTCCATTCGGATAGAAACATCAATGCAAAGTATGTTTTGTCTTCCCTCAACTATTCAAAATTTTAGCTGTGTTTTTACAAAGAATCCAGGTCCGCACAAAAAAAAATTACACGGACAAAAAGAGAAGAAAATGTGCTTCTATTAGGACACTTTATTGCAGTAGTTAAGTTTCACATTTTTAACGTTTTGAACCTAGCACGGGGAAATTAAGACATCATTGAAAGCATCACACTCTGCAGAATAGACCTCTAAAAATTGGTGGCCAGCCAAAAATACGCAACAGTTTAATAATAAATATATAACAATTATAAGACAGTTATGAAAGCAATGCAAATTTAATTCATATGACGTAAATTTTTTGTCGGTTCATCAAGTCTTTGAATTTTTGGTTAGGATATAGTGGTTTTTTACACTTCTTAAATTAGTGTTTTTAAATAAAATGATATTGGCGCTTCATATTGCTGCTTTATTTTCTGAGATTAATATTTCGCCAAATTTTTTCAAAAGAGAAAGTTTTTTATCTGAGTACTGCAGATACCATTTTTTGAGGATCAAGATAAAATCCTCCAACAACTGGACCATACACTAGCACTAGGTATATTAGATCTTCCTCTTCGAAGTTTATTTTAGAAAGAATTCGCCCGGCGATCAAAATGCTCAATACTGAATGGCTGAAACCTCCAACATTTAACCGAATTAGCACCCCCCAGCACAGCACACAATCAAGATAACTACCCCCTCAGCACAGTGCAGATGCAAGTAAACACGCCCCCCCCCCCCACACACACACACCGCTCTAGATGAGGATTGTTAACTTGGACCTTTTTTCTACTATGGTTTTTCATTCAAATTTTTAGCTTACTAATCATTTAATTATACTTTTGTTGCAGCGACGATGGATTTATACCGCTGGGAATTCTGAACGAAAATCAGCATTGTATTTTATTCAGTTCTCAAAAGGAAAAAATTGGTCTCCTGAATGAGAAATACCAGGTTTTATCACTCAATGCTTGTCTCAGATCAACATCCGAAATAATAAACTTCGTCGAAAGGTATCGATTGGAGGGTATCAGTACAAGAACCTTCGAGATCAAATCTTCACCATCACATAACTTTCATGGTGAAAAAGCAGATATTCGGTCTTGTAGTGAAATATCTGATTTCATTCAGACCAGTGTGGCAACAATAGAAGAGTACGTGCACAAATCCAGCGGCTCAATTTTTCTACCTGTCATAGTGCATGTGCCCAGTGAGATCCTGGCACGAATATCGTCAGACCTGGAAAGTAAAAAGATTAAATACTTTTGTCATCAGAATTGGTACAATGACTCCTCTGATGGCAGTGAGAGCGAGTTGCCAGTCGTTCGCTTTTTAGATATTCAGGGAATAGATGGCCTGGAGTTCGCAGTAGTCGTCATTCTTTTGTATGACGATGGTTCTGGTGATAGGCGTGTTATTCATTACTTCCATACCATGATAACCAGAGCGTGTGTGAAACTTGTCATCGTCAAAGTCGTAGACAAGCCAAAACAAGACCAACAGCGGAAGAAAGCAATAAATTACACATTCGGAAAAAATCTAAAAGGTGAACTGGAAAAGTTTGAATCTAACAGCCTTGTACTTTTGGTGGGAACCTATTTCCGATTCAATTTCATAACACCCATAACACAGTCCGAAGTTGTAAACAGGAGTAATTGCCAGCCAAAAATAAAAAGAATTCAATATTTCAACGGGCCAAATAATGTCATCATTCTGCAATTAGAAGATCTATACAAAAAAAAGCATTTAGAAGAATTGAAAAGAATTGGATTACGGACAATTATTCTTGTCGGTGCTAGACACAGTAATTACTGGTCCTGGAATTTTTATTGGCATACTGATAGAATTCTTCATTCAAACGCGTTTTGTGGGCAATTTGAAGTTAGAAGTTTGTTGTTTCTGCACGATAATTATGACCAGCTTTCAATCCAGTTAGAGCGTTCCCTGAACAAAAACGAGAGCCATGATAATTTTGAATTACAAAATTTTGGAAAATCGGATGACATTTTTAAGGACGACCAGCTGCTCAAGCTTAACGAGCCGTACCTAAAATGGGAAAACTGGAAAGAAAAAGCGAAAGAGAGTCGTCGACTATCGTTGCCAACTTCCCGTGTGTCTGCCATATACAATGATTGCTTAAATCTAATGCAAAAAGGCAGCATTAAAGATCCCGAAAAATACATAAAGTTGTACGTTGCGATGTGCCAGTTATATTTGACGGAAATTTCGAAACCAGTGTATAGCTTAAAAGACTTAGATATAGATTCTGAAGAATACAATTCTTTTCAATGTTTTGCTTTTGGAGCATTGACGACTGCTGGTTTTGTATTAGAGCAAGATGCCAGGTGCGTTGAAGCATACCATCAGATCTACCGAGCGATAAAAGTTATTACAAACAAACAAGCCTCCGGATGTCAAGAACTTGAGGAAGATGACATTAACGAGACCATACAAAAAAGTGAAGAGGATTTGAGACATGCAAATACGACTGGACTTCGGAATCTTGACTTGTTACACGCTAATATCGGGCCAACTTTATCAGAAAAATGTGACTTGTTATTCCTGAAGCGGAAAGATTATGAAAACGAAGCAGACTCAGATACACTGTTTGCAAAAAGGAAAGAATTGGCTGAGATTACTTGTGAGTTAGCCATAGATTTTCTGAATCAAATAACAGAAAGTGGTGTTAGTTATCACGTAATAGAGTTTCGGTTAAATCCTTATCTAGAAGTACTGTCGGCGGTACTTGAACAGCCCATCCGTTGTGCCCTGGAATCGTTAGAGTGGAATCCGAGACACGAACCAGCATTTGATGTACTCAAAAAATCTTTCGCATTTTACACTTTAATTCTGAACGAAGTCTACAACATAGCAACTAAAATTGAGAAGAGGAAGTCTTTAGCTGGAAGCAGACTTCATTAATCGTTTTATTGAAATAATTTACACTGACCAGTTTTCAAATTGTGAGATCCAGGTTGAACTAGTAATAGTCTTTTTATAAACAGCAGAATACGCTCACTACCAAAATACAAAAGTTTACTACCAATTTAAAAACAAGCAAACAAGCCACAAGTTGTTGAGCACTTGATGGAGGTGGCAGTCTCTTTAGCTAGTATCAAAATGTACTACAAACAGCAGAAACAAAGTTTGATCAATTTGTAGCAGTTTCTTTGCAGCCGTTTTTCAAATTACATTTAAAAACTTAGATTTATTCATGATTAAAGAATAGGCAAACTTGCTAAATTTAGACATTAATTTTCAGGTTTGTTCAGACATGTTTTGACATGACAAATAATCTTTGCAAAATGTTTATGACATGGCTCAAAAGTAGTTCCAATTTGATTTGAGGCAACGTAATAAAGAAGATTTAAGCTCTGCTAGAAGCTAAAAGCATCCATTTGTAGTTACGATAGCGTGTGGTTGTATTTTCATTCAAAAGTCTGTTGAAACTTTCAGTTTTGTTTTTAGCCCATCAAATTTTAGCCTATCATAAATAAATAAATTGTTGGTAGACGGGTACAATAAATTGTCGGAACAGTCGGAAAAGTCAAACAGGCAGTCGGGACAGTCAAAGCTCAAACCTATGACGCGCAGTTTTGTTTGAGATAGCTTCGTTATCTAATGACGTTATAATATAATTAGAATTTCTGTATTTTCCGTCAGGAATCCGTCAGCATCAATATGCAGAATATGCTGATATAGATGGAATGTTACTTCAGGTTGACATACTTGCGGATGGATAACACAACCGATGTTATATCATAGCAATTCACTCGAAAGTTTCTGGAGTTACTCACTGCAACACATGTACAAACTTCGCATTTCACAAACCGTTCGTGACAATCAAGCCTCTTTTCAAGAAGCAGCACTCGACTCCTCTTAATTACCCTGAAAAAACTTTTCACTATAAACTATAAACTTTTTAGATTTTCTTAATTTTCTAGGTGTTAAAATGACAAAGTCCGAAACAAATGGAAATTTTATTTAGAATGACGTATGTTCGTCAAGCGACAAAGTAGGTCAAACCGATGAAATCGTAGACAGTGAACCAAGGGGGATGATTCCCTTCCAGAAAATTTGAATGAAAAGTTCCTCGAATGGCATTCTGTCTGACAATTCTTAGGTTAGCTAACCTTTCTATGTTGATAATTTTCCACTTCAGTTGAAAACACTCAAATGCATAATTCGCAGAAAATTTTCAGTGCAGTTTGATTTTCTCGTTAGCACACTGTGATACCCAACCGACCAAACTCTCCTGCGCTCTGGGCAAAGCGCTAGTAGCACCAACAGAAGCTATGTCTATCCCTAAACTAGAATGGCAATTACACGCCTTGGAAGAGAAAAAACTAGAGAATCTACCATCCTGATAAAAAATATTTTATGAGGACAAACAGCACCACTGCGCTCCATTGGCTGCATTTTTCATCAAAGCATCCAATTTTCGTCGCTGACTGACTAGGTGAAATACTTGTAGTCAGCACCGTAGACGAGTAGTATAATGTCGACACCGGAAACAATTAAACAGACTCGGGCACCAGTTGCTATTCCACTAAACATCCAAGCTTCCTAAGACTCATTGACTGACCTCTCCGTCCAAATAGTCAGAAATTCACTAAGAAAGACTCAACGGCCCCGTTGATAATGCTTTTGATACCGCCTTTGATTTTGTCGCAAAAGTGGCATCAACCAAACTCGTCATCAACTGGCCTTAAAAAGGCTTTTTTTAGCTGATACGCCTTGTACCATTCATTCTCATTTTAGATCCTAAGTTCTTTCTTTACCATGAATTAACACTTAGGATCGTCAAACCCGCTAAGCCCGAAAACGCAAATGATTCTGTCGCAATAATTTACATTCCCAGAATTATGTGAAGATCTTAAGTCCCACTAAACATTCTACTTTCATTGCTTCACCTGGTTCTTTCTGGTCCATGGACAGCAGAAAATTTCTTTCTGAAATCATTTTAAGAACAAAACATCCCATCAGATCTGATGGTTTTCATCGTTATTGAAGTCATTTGTATTTATAACTGCGTGTTGTACCGTCAGCGGAAACTAAAAAAGGCCACACTTTTATTGTCTTAGTAGCCAGTCAAGCACTTAGAGTACCGACCAGAGCCGTGCAATAACTGCAGTTTTGACTACTTCGAACCCTTGTATGAAAAGATTCGCCGGAGTTCCAAAAACATTTGGGCATTCAGCTTACTTGTTTGAACACAAGGGCCATCCGCCTAGAATACTTTCCGTCTATGGATCCTGACACATGAGTATTGAGAGTGGAAACGTTCATCGCTTGGCGTGGCGCCGCATCAATAATTTAGTTCGGCAATAGAACGAAATTATTGTCCACTCGATCCTCAGTGACCTCACACACGGTCTTTTCTACATAAAACCACAGAAAGGAAATACAAGAATCTCTACGCACCAGACGATGCTGCTTGGTGGCAACGGCTTGTACGTAGTAGTTGCCAGAAAAAATCTACTACTTGATCCTCAGACCTCGTTAATGACAGAATCATTTCTTCATACAATTTTCTGTTTTGTGGAGCAGTCTTTGAATACACATCCGCAGTGATTCAAATGAATTAGAAGCACTCATATTCAAGCATTTTTAATGGAACTGCATACCGTGAGCTTTTTCAGTCGCAATGGTCAGTTACTTTGACCACCGCAAGCGCTACTTCCGCGCACAATCAGATTATGGTTTCGATGCATCAAAGTTACCTGCTTTTTCTCAAAAAACGCAATAAGTGACATACACCCGCCGAGTATGATTTCAAGCGCGGAGATCTTGTTTGGGTTTTCGGGTAACGTAGCCCCGTAGGTACCAACCTTTAGCAGTCATCTAAACCTTGTACATGGCAGAAATGCAATTGCCCGCTCTGCACACAAGAAAACCGCACAAAAAATTAGGTCATCCTGAAGTAAAATTTGCCTTTTGAGCCCGAAGACGGTTTTTCTCAAATTGCTTGGGTGAAAATTAAAAATAGCTTGATTCATAAATGCAGTATAAACTCAACCTAAGAAAGAACAGATAGCCGAGCGTTCCAAGCTAATATTCCAAATCTAGGTCGGTCGTTTCGGCTTAGGTTCGAGTTCCAACCGCCATACCCAACGGCAATTGTTTCAAGTAATCGAGAACAAGTTTCAAAACAGGTTTCGGTTGACCTATTGTGTTTATTTGTACGTAATAGTTATTTAAAACATGCGTGAAATTTACGTAACTAGGTTAAAACTACGGAAGCTCGTATAAACATTCAGTTAACTTGTCTGAACTCATACACATGTTTTTGGCTGCTAATTGTTCCGACTTTCGGTCTGAAAGTAACGGAATATTTGTGCTCGGGTTGAGTTTTTGTTTTTCTTCAGACAAATTTCGACTTTTTAACTAGCCATTTTTGACGGAATTTTTTTTTATATCATTCAAAAGATATTGTTGCCCTGAGCTCAAATTTGAAAAGATATTTCACCTGTGATCAATTTTTGTAAACATATGGGGGTTTAAGGATTGCCACTTTGACAAATTTGGGACAATTAACGCGCGATATATTTCGCGCTATTAACGCGTAAGCGGAGAGTTAATCCGTCTCAGAAATCGCTCCAAATTGGTTGAAAGAAGCTTATTTGCTATAACTGATTTGTTACAAGGAGCGAAATCTATCTTTTTCTATTTTATATGGCGTCTGGGGGGATGATTTTTATAAAAAATTTCAATTTTTAGAATTTTTTTTTTTTTCATTTTATTTTATTACATTAAATTTTTTATGTTATTACTGCTCCATAATACCTTAAAAGGCAGTCGGAACATTCAGGGCTTTGCCCTGATACGAGCAGTTTTGTTTTACATTTAGACGTTGCTGCAAAATTTACGTGCAATTATTGTTCAGACTTTCGATACAGAAGTAACGAAATATTTGTGGTCGGGGTGGGTTTTTTTTTCGTCAGACAAATTTCGACTTTCTGACTAGTCACTTTTTACGAAATTTTTTTTATACCATTCAAAAGGTATTGTTGTCCTGAGCCTAAATTTGAAAAAATATTTCACTTGTGACCATTTTTCGTAAAGTTATGAGGGTTTAAAGATTGCCATGTTGGCCATTTTGACCAATTTGGGACAATTAGCGCGCGATATAATTCGCGCTATTAACGCGTAAGCGGAGATTTAATCCGTCTTAGAAATCGTTCCAAATTGTTTCAAGGAAGCTTATTTGCCAAAAATGATATGTTAATAGGAGCGAAATCTACCATTTTGTACTTTATATAGCGTGTGGTGGGATGATTTTCATAAAAATTTCAAGTTTTAGAAAACAAAATTTTCATTTTTTTTTATTTCATTTATTTTTTTCATGTTATTACTGCTCCATAAACCTTAAAAGGCAGTCTGGACTTTCAAGGCTTCCCTCTGATACGAGCAGTCTTGTTATGTTTTTTATGCTCACTGGAAACGTTGATATTGGTGTATTTGTTCTTATAAGGAATTTCTTTCTCTTTTCTATTTTTCCGATGAATTGGGTTTGAAAATTTGCTATACATCGGTGTTTTCGTACAAAACTTGTGAGTATTTGATAACCCAACAGATCTACGATGCGATCTACAGACCCGGACCCGAGTAGAGTTAGAGAATACCTTGAACATCTGTTTCTAAGTCAAAACGAAGGTGGTTTGAAGTTCACTGCGAGCCAATAACCTCCAAGAAGTTCCCTGTGAGCCGTTTTCAAATGCTGTCCCTTCAGCAGTTGCCCTTGAAAATGAGGAACCGTTTGTAAAGTTTGTAGCTTGACTTTTGAAAAAAGTGTGATCGACTGAGTTCGATCCGATGTGGATTTTTTCTCCTGATATACGATTGTCCTGAACGCTAAGATAGGAGATAGAAATTTGAAGGCGCATAGTTTTACTTAATCATACGCTAAAAAATTATCTGAT